TTAGGTGTTTCAAGGCCAATGAATAACCTACAAATACAGCAATCAAACCCTATGGAAACCATAACACCTAACAGAACTCCAATCCATGTTTTGCATTCCTGTGGACAAATTAAAACAACCAACAATCTGGATCATAACCACAAACATCAGTCTAGAAAATTAAAGAAAAGCCAATGCTTTAAATGAACAAAAAAATTTGAAAGTTAATTACATCAACTTGTTTTCCATTTCCTTCTCCACAGTCTGAATCCCCCATAGTTATAGATTCCTCAAAGTTTGAATTCAAAATCTTTACAAGTCTGCAACTATATATATTAAGAAATGAAAAGTGATGTTATAGGAATGCAATAATAATTAGTACCAAATATAAATTATAAGTTTCCAAATACCAATCATTTGATTAATAAAAAAAAAAAACTTCTAACCGAAGTATAACATTACAAAAAGAAAAAAAGTGAAAAACAATAAGGCTTACAAAATTTGAAATCAACAATGCATCAGATCATAGAGATGCAGTCAAATTTTGAAAGAAATGTTTACGAGGAAGCACAGCTTACCTGAATTCATGTATGGATCTTATAAAAATCAAAAGGTCTCAATGGTTTTTGAGATGATTGTCGTGCTTGGCTCTTTGGCCTTTTAGCATGGTGTCACCAACATCACATAAGGTTTTAGAGACTGATTGCTTGCAGATTAATTTGAAGAATTAGAAGCTGCAAAATGATGCAGCCTTTTTACACAACATACATTATCTATATAGCAGATATGTAAATCTCATACAGAATGAGATAATTGACATTTGACAAACCTACATGCATTCACAATACTTGTTTGAGCAACTTCATTTTTTAAAATTGTATCCTCTTTTATGCCTGGCTCTGAATCTTATTTTCACCCTGCACAAGCAAATACAAAACATTAAGAGAAGGAAAAAATGCTTGGAAGGACCAAATTTACAAATGTTTAAAAAAATTAGCAACAACCTTCCTCATAGTTAAGTTGGTAGATAAAAGAAGTGATGCATTAGTAGAATAAGATTGGTGCGTTCAGTGGTAAACTTTGATGCTACCCTATACCAATTGCATAAGAGGTTTTAATTTGGCAAATAAAGTCTAACCTCACAATCAGCATTGAAGTCTATGGTCTGGGTTGGGCTACCAAGCCATGATGCCCGCCTTCAACTTTTGATCTTGTTTTACTTTCTGTTTTATTAGTTTCTGCAACAAATGAAGCGTCTCAAACCTGTAGCCCGCGCTGGTAATTGCTCATTATCATCACCCTGATGCACCCGACTAGGAATCTAGAATGGTAGTAGAACATTTGAATGGAGAAATTATTAGTATGACATTTTAAAACTTGAAATTACATAGAGTGAAAGGAAAAGAAATTATCAACTTAATTTGCTTTGGAATTGTAGGTAATAAATAATAATGATAGTAGATAATGAATTTGGTTTTAGTTGCTAAGTACTATAAATAAATAGAAAAAATAAAAAAGATTTAGCAGTTGTACCTAAAAGATTGAAAGAAGGTAAATGCATAATTGAAATCAATTAGGAAGACAACGAAATTAAAGAAAAAAGATTTACTATTATGTATAGTTAAAGGCTGAATATACCTCAATGGGATCTCTATGGAATTGGATAATTCTGTTCTCTATTTCGATATGTGGAATGTGAGAGATGTAGTCCCACTCGGAACCACTTCCACTTGCGCATCTTTCCTTTAACTCGGGGCATCCATTAATACAAAGGACTTCTAGTTTGGAGAGGCATCGGATGGCTTCCATATGTTTTAGAGATTTGCAGTGCAAAATAAACAGAGTTCGAAGAGAGGATAAGTTTCCAAACCAATTTGGCAAAGCTTCCAGTCCATCAAAATCCCTTATCACGAGATACCTAAGGGCAGTTAGGTGTTGAATTTGATCCAGCAGACATTCTCTTGGTTCTCCCCATGCAATCAAAGTCATATATTGAAGATGAGATCCGATGAAGCCCAGATCTGGAAATTCCTTGAGCTCTGTTGAGAAACCACCAATAGTTAGCCTCTTCAGGCGAGCAAGGCAGGCAGGATTAGGGATGCTCCAGCTCCTCCTCAAATCATCTGGAATAGAGATTAGATCATGACAGTTGGAGATATCCAATTCCTCAAGAGCAGTGCATGATGGCAACCCACTTGGCAAACTTCTTAATCCATCACAACCCTCTATCGATAAAGTCTGAAGAGATGAAAGCCCATGGAGGCTCGGAAGGGATGTTAGACCATTACAACCTATTATGCTCAACCTTTTGAGACACGTAGCGGTAGATGAACTCTCCCCTATGCTTTTCAATGTCCCACAGCTGAATATATCAACAATTTTTTGAAGAGAGGAAAGCCTGTGGAGGCTCGGAAGGGATGTTAGGCCATTACAAATTACTATGCTCAACTCTTCGAAACACGTGGCGGTAGATAAACTCTCCTCTATGCTTTTCAAATCGTCACAGTTGAATATATGAATTTTTTGAAGAGAGGAAAGCCCATGGAGGCTCGGAAGGGACGTCAAACCAGTACAGCCGCCTATAGTCAACTCTTTAAGACACGTGGCAGTAGATAAACTCTTCCCTATGCTTTTCAATTCCCTACTACACCGGCTTATATTAATTTTTTGAAGAGAGGAAAGCCCATGTAAACTGGGCATGGACATCAACCTACCACATCCGTCAATATTTAACTCTTGCAGACACGTGGAGGCAAATCGAGCATCGTCCCCAATCATCCTCAATTCCGAGCAACGCCGAAGTTCAAGTTTTTCAAGCGATTGAACTTTACTAATCATCAGAAGATTTTCCAATTTACCACAACCGTCTATATGTACTTCTTTGAGAGACTTCATGGCAACTGGTCCAACCCCTACCTCAACCAGTTCTTCACAGTCCACAATGATGAGTTTCTGAAGGAACCAACATGCAATGCTTTTCAAATTCTTGCAATTTTTAATTTCCACCTTTGCCTCACTTTTGAGTGAAAGTGATGGAATTCTTTCCAACCAGGGACATTGATAAAGGGACATGAACACTAGATTTTTGAGAAAATTCACCCTGTCTAACATTGAAATTTCTATTTTTGACATCCATGCAGGCCAACTTTTTCCACAATAGTTTTCAACAATAAGGCCTTTCAAATTTGAATGACGTTGGAGGCCTTCTAAGATATCTTCATCATGTTTGCATCTATCTTCACTACCATTGTATTCCTCACCAAATACCAATTGCAACTCCTGAATCGCATCCTTTTCAATAAGTCTTGCTCCCATGGCTTCTTCTTTGTCTCTAACCATATCCAAATTACGAATCTCTAATTTTCCCTTGAGTTGGCTTAAACATCCCAATTCTTCAATTTGATGTCCCTTCTGTTGTGCTACAACAAATAATTGTAATGTTTTCAGACAAGTTAGTTTACCAATGCCTGCTGGCATAAGATTCCACTGGTTGAAATAAATGTGTCTCAAATTGACTAAATCCCATATTCCTTCCAAAGGCCTGTTGATTTCCCAGCAATACAGAAATCTAAATGTTTGCAAATGATAAAGCTTGGTGATGAACCTAGGAAGTTCTTTGATTCTAGTTCCTGAAACATCCAAGAACCTTAAATGCTTCATTTTCCCCAAAAAAGCCGGCAACTCATCAATATTAGCACCACAAAAACTAAGAACCCGCACCTTTCTCAAATTCATTGACATACTGTGAAAGACATCAACTTGTGAAAACAAAGTGTGCAATTTTTTAGTGGCATCCCCAAATCTTGCCGCTGCCATACCCTTACCAGAAATGACATTTAAATGTTGAATGTTTGTAGGAATATTCCTTCCACTGCCATCTTCCAAAATCAAAGTTTGGGACTTTGAAACAAATTTTGCAAGATCATGAACTAAATCATGCATTTTGCAAGCAATAATGCTCCCATAAGAATCTCTTTCAGCATCTTGAAATAAAGAATATGATGACAATGCATTGAAATACCTATCACCAATATCCTCCATCTCCATGTATCTTTCACTAAAAGGCTGAAGAAATCCTTCAGCCATCCAGAGCTGGATTAACATCTCCTTTGCCATGACAAAATCTTTAGGGAAAATAGAGCAAAAAGCAAAACATTGTTTCAAAGCAGGTGTTGGCAAGCGATTGAAGCTCAATTGTAACACTCGCAGAACTCCATTAGCTTCTTCTATTGAACCCCATACTTCACTATTATCTTTAATTGATAACCAGTCATCCTTCTTCCTATTATTGCACAAACTCCCCCCAATAATATTTGCAACTAATGCCAAACCTCTACATTTGCTAGCAATATCCATTCCAATCCCTTCCAATTCTAAAGGGAATGATGAGCTGCCAAATGCTCTTTTCTTGATTATGGACCAACAATCCTCATTTGTTAGCTTTTCAAGATGATGCCTATGCTCCAAAAGTGTTCCCATTGTGGAAGCTACATTTTCACTTCGAGTTGTGACAAGAACTCTATTCCCAACATTTTTACCTATTCCCAACAAACAGCTCCTTAAGGATTCCCATTTTTGCCAATCTTCATTCCATACATCATCTAATACGAGAAGATATTTTTTCTCCCTCAAATGTTCTTTTAGTTTCTGAACTACAATATGTTGACTTTCATCCACAGAAACATTTTCAGCAACAGCTTGCAACATTTCTACTAAAATTTGTTTCAAATTAAAATTTTCAGAAACACAAATCCACATTATTTTGGAAAAATGACTCTGTATTTGCTCATTGTTACACACTAGTTTGGCCACAGTAGTTTTGCCTATGCCTCCCATACCCACCATGGATACAACAAGGAGAGGTTGATCATTACTTGAGTCAATCAATGATTGAACAACTTCTAGGACCTTATTTTCTCTTCCTACAATTTTTGATGGATCACCAATTGAGGAATCTATTTGTTGGGTTTCTATATGTTCAGGATGCTTGCTTGCAAGTCTATATTGCAACCCTAACCCAGTGGCCCTCTTATTAAGGTCATCTAGTTCTAAGTTTAAATTCTTAATCCTGTTAGCTATCTTAAGGCGAAAAGCTAAAGGATTGGAAAGAGTAAAGAAATAGCTGACCTTTTCCCACATTTGAGCTACCTTGTACCGTAGATGTTCATATGCAATCTCATCTACCACATCGTCAGCTTCATCAACTATATTTCCAAGCTCATCAAGCCAAGGTTGCAGACCAGAGTGACTTGTCACCTTCTTCTCTTCAGCATCTTGCAGCACGCCCTCCAGCGTTCTCAACATCACATGAAACTTCTTGAGTTCTTGCTTGAATCCCACTGCTAAGTTGAGTTGCTCAGTAGTAACTGAAATCACCTTAGATATTGTGACATCCACAAGAGGACCAAGAAGTTTAGCCTCCATATTTGATACAATAGTTTGGAAGAGAGAAATGTTTGGAGATTGTACAGCAGAAAAGAGGGGAGAATAATGTGAAGGGGGTAGAGAATAGCTACAGGCAACATTTATACATGTAGACAATAGAAGGTGA